AAGTAGTAGCAGTATTTCAGATAGCAGCAGTGGCATTATTACCGTAGAAGTAGCGACACAATATGCAGTATTTATTTTGGTAATAGTTGAATAGTCTTAATTGCAATAGCAAGCTACAGTTACACAGTAATTGTTGCCATTAATGACAAAAACATTCAGTGTATAAAAATAATAGCTGGTATAATTTAAAATAGAGTCTTGTTATGGATTAAGACTTCAAAACAAAATGTTTTTTGTTCCTCATCTAAAATGTCAACGGTTAATCAGGGCGACACGGCAGAACATACACACCCTAACGTCTTGGAGGGAGAATGTGCTGCAGGGAATGACAGCTCTATGCAGCACTGAAGTCTTCAAGTTTCTGGATGACTCATCTCGGCATCTGAAGTCAGAGCAGGTTCTGAATCAGGGTGCCAGTCTCCCTGACGCTGGGTACTGAGTATCAGGGTTGTGACCTCTGACTGGATGGCACAGTGACTCGGGGAGTACTGGAGGGGCAACAATGTCATGTAGCCTGGCCCAAAGTGCAGGTGCTGAGTTTTCCTCCCCTGCCATCAAAGCGAAGCCCCGTTTTCTTATTCTCTCTCTTTCAGCTCTTTTGCTGTTATGCATGTTTACATTCTTCAAATGTTACCATTGTTTTGTCAAATAAGTAACATGCCAAGGTGACCTTTCTTCTACAATGTGTACACAGTAGGAGTCTGTGAGAATGATGCCAAGAAACAGATTCCTCAGTACACTGTGCACTGTGGTGGGTATGTGCCACTGCTGTTTGAAATCCTGCATGACAAGGACAATTGGTGAAATACTAACATACACCTATCAGAACAAGACAAACTGTAGATATATAAAACATCATTAACATGGGGAACTGTGACAGGGAACAGTGAACAAAACACAAAATAGAAAAGGCAAAGCAAATGCGCAGTTTTATCAGCAGGACAAGAAGTACAGCATTATGTAAAAATACTCCAAAAGTCAAAGACTTTTACTTAATGTACTATTGCTTAAGTTAAGTGTACTTAATTTTGAAATACAGTTCTGCTCCAGAATGGCCCCTCTAAAGTATTAGATCATGCTATTGTGTTTGTACTGATGCATGAACCTTACAGAGTATCATCAGCTGCCTTCTGGAGCTTTACAGTGGGTTTCAGCTCATTGTTGACTAAGTGGGTTCACTCTCACTGCCTTTGTAGAGATGTTAACAGCTGGAGCAGGAAGTAAGTAGCAGAAACAGCTCTTAAAACCCACTCTCATAACCAGCTCAGCAGCAAACAGCTGACAGCCCCAGTCAGAGATCAGTAGGCATTTAGTAACTGAAGAACCAGATATTTCCCTCAGGAGGTGGTGGAGACCAAACATGGAGCTAAAATATAGGGAATATTAAACATACATAACACTAAATGAATAATAATGTTACTCCGTAACTGGTTGTTATGTAAACAAGCAGCTGTTATCGTACTGTCTTATCAACTTAACAGGTGATGAAGTGCCAGTGTTACAGTATGTTCAGTGTTTCCTCTGCCCCTAACTGGCCAAAAAAATCAGTTACTGCAGGTTTAATGATCCCCTACAAACAGGCTAAAAGAATTATTCGCTTGGAATTTGTGTCTGATATAATTCTCATTAGAAGTTCTTTAAAAACTATTTTTCTTCAATGTAAAATCCAGAATCAATGAATATATAAATATTCATTTGACTGCTTGACAAAAAAACGTCTCCTACTTCACTGAAAAGTCCATACATGCACTGGAGGTTTCCTTATCACATCTGTGTAAGTTGCATATTGAACCACGATCTGTGATGTCAAAAATGATGCACATGAGCATGGAGAAATGTTTCCCTTTAAGCAAATGAATGCTAAAATGGCTTTCTAGAATCTGCATATACATATATAGCATGTAAACGTTCCATCTCTGGTTGGTTTCATGAGTTAAAACGTGGAGTAAACAGTGACTGCAGCCTTTCACTGTTTAGTAGCAGCACCTGCATCCTCTGCTCCACAGTCACAGGATAGTGTGTAAACAGAGAAAGACAGTGTGAGGGAGAAAATGAAGGGAAGGCGAAGCAAACTGAGAGGGAGAGCGAGTAGAGCTCACAGGGGCAAAAGACAGAGCTGCACTGGCTTCAGATCAGCAGGAACACTGACTGAACAGAGGTCTGGTTCAGCTGCTGGCAGCCCCAGAGGGACAATCAGACAGAGATGTGGCCCAGATCCCGGCTCTCCTCCTCCTCCTTCCCTCCATTTCCTCTCTCGCTGTCAGTGGAGTCACTATCTAGGCCTTTCATGTCCTCCCAATTGAAGCTGTAGCCAGGATCTGGCATCAGGGACTTGCTGCCTCAGTCTCTCTGCTTTATTTCCTGTCTGCCTGCTGGCCGAGCTGGCTTCAGAGCGACAGGACCCAGTGACGGCCGACTGGCTGCCCTCTCAGTCCACTGTGCCCTCATTATACCTGCGGTGTGTTCCAGCAGGCACTGCCCCAATCCCACAGGAGTGGTGCTGGGGGAGTTCCGGCTCGGCGACCCTGACGCTGCCCCATCACTC